GGGACTTGAAGAAAGTAAATCATATCAACTAGTAGTTAAAGTCAACTTTCTATGGATCACATGGAGCAGAAAGGACAATATTATGCAAGAAACAGCTGTAAAGTTGCTTTGCAAGCAGCCTTTTACTGGCCATTTTTCTTCCTTCTGTCTCTCTCTGAAACCCTTTTGTCTTTGTACTCTGAAACCCCTCAGAAATAGAAAAATGACTGGAAATTCTTCCTGCTAGATAGTCTGTGCCATAAAATAATTTTACTTGCATTAGTCCAATTTCTTGTCTGTCAAGCAAACAGTAATCATAAAAGTCTAGGTGCAAAAACTTTTTTTTTTTGTCTGAGTAACATGGATCCTCCAATATTCAAAATATTAACCCCTCACCTACCCCTGAATACCTAGTTATTTTACCCATGTTTTAAAATTTTGCTTCAATATCAAATGTCAGATTCTACCTGTAAATAATATAATTACAAATGTACTCAAGCATCAAATCCTCCAAAGTTTGACTGTATGAAAATATTTAAATAATCTTCTTTAGTTTTACTATCTGAAGGCTTAATTGCTTTCCCAAAAAACAAAAAATGTTTGACAAAATTGGATTTTCATAGATTTCATAGACATTAGGGCTGGAAGGGACCTTGTAAGATCATTGGATCCAGCCCCCTGCCCAAGGGGCAGGAAGTCAGCTAGGGTCAAAGGATCCCAGCAAGATAAGTGTCCAAATGTTTCTTGAAAGAGTCCAGAGTAGGTGCTTGCACCACCTCTGGGGGGAGTTTGTTCCAGGCCTTGGGGGCTCAAACAGTTAAGTTTTTCCTTATGTCCAGCCTAAAATGATCTTGGAGGTGTTTGTGACCGTTGGACCTTGTCATCCCCTGGGGTGCTCTGGTGAACAGGCATTCCCCCAGATCCTGATGCACACCCCTTATGTACTTCCAGGCTGCCACCAAGTCACCCCTGAGCTTGCACTTCTCCAGAATGAAGAGTCCCATAGCTTGCATCCTCTCTTTGTAAGGCCTGTTCTCATGCCCTCTGATCATGTGTGTGGCTCTCCTCTGGACTCTTTCAAGCTTCTCCATGTCCTTCCTAAATTGTGGAACCCAGAATTGGATGCAGTACTCCAGCTGCAGCCTCACCAAGGCCGAGTGCAGCAGGAGGATGACACCCTGGGTCTTGCTCGAGATGCATTGGTAGATGCAAGCCAGAGTTTTGTTTACTTTGCCAGCTGCAGTATCGCATTAGTGGCTCACGTTCATCTTGTGGTCAATCATGACCCCCAAGTTTCTTTCGGTCATGGTGCTAGCGAGTGTAGCATTGCCGAGCCTAAGTGTGATACAGGTTTTTATTCCCAAGGTGGAGCACTTTGCATTTCTCTGTATTGAATGCCATCAGGCTTTCGTCTGCCCACATTGCAAGCCTATCGAGGTTGGCCTGGATTACCATCCTATCCTCAAGTGCGGAGACTCTTCCCTAAAGTTTGGTGTTATCAGCGAACTTGGCCAGCCCACTTTTGACACCAGTATCCAGATCGTTTATGAAGACATTAAAGAGTACAGGTCTGAGAATGGAGCCTTGGGGGACACCACTAGTCACCAAGTGCCATGTTGATTTGGTTCCGTCAACTACCACTCTTTGGGTCCGACCTTGGAGCCAGTTTCTCAGCCATTGCACTGTGGAGTAGTCAAGGCTGCAGTTGCCCAATTTTTCCATGAGGACACCATGGAACATCAGGTCAAAGGCTTTTTTAAAGTCCAAATATATGACATCAACCTCTTCCCTTTTGTCCAGATAATGCATCACCTGGTCACAGAAGGAAATGAGATTGGTCAAGCAAGACCTACTCGCAACAATCCCGTGCTAACTAACCCTCAGAATGTGGTCTTCTGTTAGCCTGTCAATAATGGTTTCTCTGATAATTTTTTCCAAAATCTTCCTAGGGATTGAGGTCAAACTGATTGGCCTGTAGTTTCCCAGGTCTTCTTCAACTAAGCAAAGCTTCTTACCCAAGCACGTGTTTTCCTTTGATTTTGAGTTTGATTTTGCTGAAAAAAGCATGTGCCCAAAAACTGAAATATTTTGATTTCAGTAAATGGCTGCAGCATCTCAAGGGAGATGCGCTTCAGCCGCTTCATGTCTATGTCTTCTGTATGGCCCAGGTTCCCACACTGGACGGCTTCTCCTGTCTTGAGGAGGGGACACGGATCTAGGAAATACAGACCAAACAAGACATGGTCCCATTCTACTGAGGAGAATAGAACCATGACATTTCCAAACATCAATTCCTATAAAGGCCCTGTGTCACTATTTCTGAATTGAAATATTTCTGTTTTTAGCCCAAATACTTGGTTTTCACATTTTATAAAAACGAAGTTTTCCACAAACACAAACGATGTTTTGCTTTTTGTTTGTTTGTTTGGTGGGTTTGTTTGGTTTTTTGTTTTTTGGTGGGTTTTTTTTTTGGGGGGGGGGATTGTCAACGTTTTCCATGGGAAAAATGAAAACGTTTTCTGACCACCTCCAATCTGAAGTCTTATACTCTACAGAACAAGCAAGAGGTTTGTGCTAAATGAAATTCTACCTTAAAAAGTAATATTCTCACAAGTCCCATAGCCGAAAACTATCAGATGGAAGTTGATGTCAGATACATACATGCCCAAATGGATAAGACAGATGTTGCCAAACAAACTAGATTAAGCTGTGGCAGGATGTCTCCCATCACAGCTGATATGCTTTATTACTGGACAAGGGCCCAGTGTGAGACAACAGCTGATATGCTCCCCATGTTCCTCACTGCTCTGGGCTTCTCTGCCAGGTCCTGGGGCATGTGCCTTGCATGAAAGCATGCATGGGTCAGAGTGTGTCCTAGTACAGAGGCACAGAACCTGGGGAATCCCTGGTGCCCCGCAACTCCACACCAGGACCTGTGCGTGCTGCCACACAAAGTACGGGTTGGCGCAGGTTCCAGCACGGAGGTGTGGGACAGCATGGGACCTGAAAAGTTCCCAATGAACCCTGAAGGCTCACAAAAAATGTAAAATAAAATCATGCAAAATTGATTATGGTTTTAAACCTTATTATTTTGAAGCCATTATTTGAAACCTTGTAGTTGGAAGGCTAAAGGGAACTGACTCGTTGTTCAGGAAGGTAGGGTTAGCAATATTGCTACTACTAAAAATCTAGAAGAGAAACCCTAGAATTGGAAGACAGGTAATCTGGGGATGTATCCACCCCTGCACTTACTGCCCTATAAAAGGCAACAGACATGTTTTGAAAAATTCTTTAAAACGCTATGAAGAATTTCTCCCCCTATATTTTCAGAACAATTCAAATTAAATGATCTATTAAAATACCTTTATCATCATATAAGGCATATTGACTCTATTAAATCTGTATGCATCTACAAAATCTATTCAATCTTTGTTTATTGTTTCTGTAATGTTATCTTATAAACAAATTAGGCAATGCCCTAGGTCTTGCATATTTTGTTTTGTGATAACTAAGAATACTCAAACAAATTGCAACGGAGATAACGTCCACTGCAAAGATGTATATACTATTCAGTATCTTCCAGTTAGCCATCTTTTACAATTTCAGATTAAAGAAAACAATGCTTTAATTTTAAGAAAACTCCACCAATAAAAACAACAGTAAAAAGAAGCCATTATACTTTCCTCTGTGCTAGCAAACTGTTGTTGCCAGGACTGCAACCTGAGATGGGCAAGCAGGGTACATTTCCCAGGCAATACCTAAGGGGAGGAGTACCTGAATGATTCAGGAAAGCTCTTCATCTTCCTGTCCCCCATTCCATCTGCAGCATTAGCAAGCAGGGTGCATCACCAAGCACAAGCAGTTCAGGGAATCATAGTTTTGTAGAGAAGTAGCACAGTTCACTGCTGTTGGGGGAAGAACAGACCCCAATTTCTGCCACTGAGATCAGCATTTTTTTGCCTTCTCGTATGGGTGCTGCTCCTGCATGCTGCAAAGCTAGAATGTATGCATATCAGGGACAGGACAAGAAGGGCGAGAGGACTTCTTGCCCTGTTATACCTCTGGCTCTTGGCTTTAAAAGCTATAGAATATCAAACTAAGAAGATAATCTAAATTAATGAGCACACCAAGATGATTAGCCAATTAAAATTACACGGTTCTGAAAGTTTACCTAGTTGCATTTTTAAGTGCTTCAGAATTCTACAAGTCAACTCTTTTGTTCCCTATTAGTGAAAAGCAGGGGTGCCAAACTTGTTTGGTCTCTCCAGGCTAGATCCAACAAAGCAAGCTGGATCTGGACTCACCTCTGATGGCAGAGAGGGCAACAGCAGCACTAAATCCCAAACCCCCCTCAGCTAAAGAAGACACAGACATTAACACTGCTACTGCTCACCCTGCCCCCAAATTCCCCTCCAGGAGCCCTGTGGGCCAGATCTCATGGGCTGGATCCAGCCTGCAGACCATGTTTGACACCTCTGAGTTAAAGCATAGCCATATTCTTTAAGTCAGTATCCATTTTATATTAGGATCCTCTGAAACCTTCCCACTAAGAAGAAATATATAATTCCTGCCTTGGATTTTATCTGGAGGCCCTCACTCAAGAATAGCTTGTAAAGCACATTACCTTAACTGGAGATGTGAAAAGAAAGGTAAGAGTAGAAAAACCAAGAGAAGAAACTCTAACAATAAAGAAAGACAGTATCCAGAACAAAGCTAAACCTGCAGCTCAAGTATACTTCAGATCTCCAAAGTCTTTTTGTTGATTTTTTCTCTTATCCTATTTACAGCAGATCACACAGTAGAAGTGAATGATTTTCTTGCCCGGGATGCCTAGATCTACGGGCTTCTGATCATAATACTGACAACATACACAAAGAGCCAATTCCACCTTTGTCACTAATAATAAAGAAGCTACTCAATGAAAGGATGGCAGAATATGATCCTTAGTGATCAGGAATGCAGTTGCAAAACTTAGCAATACACTATACACAAGCCTTTTGGTATGTTAAAGACAGCCTTACCTTGCAGTTTCTTTAATACAGCCACTTCCATTTTCAGAACTTGCTTTGGTTGTTGTGCTGACTCCACCTTCAGCGCAACATTTTCTCGGGTGAGCAAGTCCAGAGCATCGTAAATTTCTCCAAACCCCCCACCTCCTATCTTCCTCAACTGCAATGAGAAATATAAGACAGGATATAAAAAAAGACAAAGGAAATAAAGGTATTAATATTCCCATGCATGTTCAGTATGAAACTATCGTGTTAATGCTTAAATAAACATGATTTTTCTTTTCAGATGCACAAGGCCAGTCAATGCTTAAAAACTGTCTTAGCTGTTTATGGTTAACCATTAAAAATATACTCCAAATACTGAAGGATAGTGTAATTTTTAACATGACTTTTTCTTTTAAGAACAGACACACTACATATATTAAGCACTTAAAGTCCCTGGTGTAACTGCACAGCAACATCACAGCATCCCCTGTTGCATGCAGCTACATTAACTTCATAGCTAACCCTCCTCACCCCCCCACCCTCCAAAAAAATAAAATAAAATCGCAGAACTTTAGAAAAGATCACCTTTAAATATGTATTTTAACTACTGCTCACAGTACTCACCTCCACTAATGCCATTCCTAGCAACACATGATATTTAACAAAAACATGCAATGATACTAAAAAAACCTCATCATTACGAGGAAAAAGTAAACATTATCAGAATATAGGGCCATGAACAGGCCTTCATTTCTATAAGTGGAAATTTCTCAATAGAAATTTTTCCAGGAGAGGGAGCATACAGGCGTACAGCTTGCATTTGCCTGCCCCCCGCCCCCCCTTACACTCTCTGTGCCTTGGTCTGGGGAACAGTGGCTGTTCCCCTCCACCCTAGTCTTGTGAGGGGTGGAGGAGGGGGGAAGAGTGCAGATACTCCTTCAGAGAAATTGAGCAAACACTTGTATACTCATGGTTTCTACTGGGAGAGCAGGGATTCTGTCAGTAGAAACATAACTGTATGTGGCCTAAGTTTGTTTCACTAACTGATTTTGCTGATACAACAATTTCTCTCTCTCACCTCTCCAATTGCAGTGCTGGGAAGGTCACACTAAGAAATATACCCATGGCATTTTTACTACTTTTACTCTGCCATGATTTTCTAAATGTCATTTGCTTAAGTCATGCAACTACCCAATTCTGAAAGCAGTCTAAGCACTCTGATGATCTGGTGATCATCCAGCTAGGCATTAAGCCAGCATATTAGCCTCTCTAACAATACCTCCTATACACAATAGATTAATCTCCATCAGATGATTAATCTTGGTAAATTCCTACCATGAAGAAAGGAAGCTGGAAAAGCATGAAATAGGTTGTGTTCATAATTTCACTTCTCTTTTCCAGGCTACATCTTGTAGCCCTCTCCATCTGTCTAGAGCCAAAAGAAAGAAATGCATAAAATGTCAAATACAGCATTTCATAGCACCTTTCAGACAGGTTTGTTAAGTCATTTTTTTTGCTGTCCAAACCAACTGTTTCTTCCACTACAAAAAAATAAAAAAACACGAAAAGTATACAGATGGGACATTTAGCAAGTCAAATAAAGTCTTTATCAAATAGTTAAAATTCTTCCTTGCTAAGAGCATAGCAGTCAGTTAAATGTATAAAAAGTCACTTGGGTACTAACCAGTTTGCCTAACCTCACAAACTGTCCTTAGGTTACTGGACAGAAGAGGTTCACTTTTGTAATTAAGGAGAATTTTGCTGAATTAGCAGCTGCTTAAAATATGATTTTCAAAGGATTTTTTCCCCTTAGGGAAAAAAACCACCAAACCTAAATTCAGACACATTTTTATAGTTAAACCAAAACAACTGATAAATCAAGGGATTTTTTTATCAAAATGTTTATAACTATTTTTAACACCCATTTGACTTCAATAACCTCTTAACAATTAGGAAAAAAAAGTCTGTTGAAGGTGTGAAATAAAAGAAAATACTTACAATGATACTGGGCATGTCTACATGTGCAATGAATGTGGCTGAATAAACCCCGGTGTAGTTCTCACCAGAGTTCATTGCTCCTGGGCACTGTGTTTGAACATGTACCTGGGACAGCAGCACACTGAGCCAGGGCAGAGCAGCCCCAGCTGGCAGAGTGCCTGGGGTGGAGAGGAGAGTAGGGGTCAGCCTAACAGCCCAGGGCTGTTTTGATCCATCTCAGCATGCTGCAGAGAGGCTAGCTGGGGCCTGAGGGCACTACAGTATGGGGCTAGCCGGCAGGCAGCCCCTGCACTGAAGCACACTTGTACCGCAGCCAGCCTCATCAGCATCTATAAGTGCACTGTGGTGGAGTAAATAATAGTTAATGGAAATAGGCTTTAGGTCATATGTTATCCCTTTTCTACCAGAACCTGAACTAGTTCCCCACCTAAAAGCATCCCTTAGTTATAAACAGGAAGATTGCCAATAGAAGCTGTAGAAAATTAGAGTGGATATGGAAGTCAAACACTGATATGTAAGTCAAATATAGAAAAAGGTGGTGCCACCGATGAGCAAACAGATGGCCTGTTTCAGACTCTTTAACCCACTTCCATCTTGCTCTACTTCTTTTAAATGTTGTGGGCACTGCAAAGCAGCCTTGCATTTTGTGCCTTGCAATCTTACAACATGCAACATTTAATTATGCCACAACTTCCAAGCATCTCCTATTCAGATAAACACACATTTCTAACACACACCTAGGAGTTTAACAACTGATAGATTCTACCTTCCCCTCCTACTCTTCTACAGCTTGTTTAGCCTGCATCCACGCTACAGAATGATTATGTAAGCAGTTCAACTGTCAAGTAGTGCTTGGACTTCTAGATGACACCTCCGATAAGCCATTTAAGCCCAGGTATAAAGGACCATTGAACTCAAATAAGGGCAGGGAAGGGGAACAGGGTTGGAAGAGATATACACATACAAAGACGTAGATGGACAGGGCTATTTCAAGAGGACTACTGAAAATCCAAATAAGAACCCAAGTTAACTTTACAGTGAGGACAAGCTCTGCAATACAGAAAGTCTCACATGGTTGTCTGCTATGATGACACACAAATGTAAACATTTCAGCATGCAAATTTAGTCACATCCAAATATACTTATTTACATTCAACCTGTAGGTCCTGGATGGCAAGTGGGGAGATTTCTAACCACTGGGAAGCAAACCACAGGCTTGTCCTGGGGAAAGAAGTCGAAAAATTTTGCAGGCTGGAATAGTAACTAGATCATGATATTTCCTTATTGCAAATGAAAAATACACCAAGTAAATCTACAGATCACATTCTACATTGAGATACAGTACACAAGGGTAATCAATAGCTGAGCAATAAGCAGCAAAGTTTTGTGTTTGCAATTCACAGCACACCAGAGCACACATTTAATATAAGAAAGAATTTAATGCCATAAAAGTCGATTAAAACAGAGCCAAGTTTCTCAAAGCAATGTTAACTCAGCCTTATTTTATGTATTCTAAGATCTAGTCTTTTCTCTGTCCCTATAGCCAAAACCCCTTGGTGAAAACTGCCATTATTGTATCTCACAACTTCCTTATCCCCAACTCCCCACATGCAGATCAACTGCCTCTAAATCGATTCAGAATACAGCCACTAACATTATTCACTATTCTAAGCACATCACCCTTTGGAACTCTTCCTTTAGCCCCCCATTTTTTGACTGCAAAGTCCTAAATACTCCCCTTTGCCCCAAACTTTCATGTCTCTTTTTGAACTCTTTCACCTTCTAACATCATCTTAGATTCAATACATGTCCATTTTTCCAACAATCCTTGCCATGGTTTTCTTCCACATCACTCCTTATGCTTTGAATGACCTCCTTAAAGCTGATCCAAAAAGGTTAGAGTCCCTGTGGACTGTACACTTCTGCCATGCCTAAAGGAAACTCAAAATATTTAATTTTTGTTAAAGTTTATTAACTTGTCAGAATCAATCTTCACCTGGGCCATTTTATTTGTATGGCATACTTCTCTTCCTTGTCTGCGTTAATTTGTCTCGTTCAGGATATATGCTCTTTGAGACAGAGATCTTACTTTTCTTTATGTTTGCACAGGGCACAATACAGCATGGGAGAAATCAGAATCAAATAAACTGCAGGTTACAATCTCTGTTAACCCAATACTGAGGGCACAGACAAGACATTACAGTTACATGCAAATCACAAAACAAATAGGCAACACTTGGTACTTTACTTTTAAACTGCACAGTAATGTTCGCCATGTTTACAAGTTAACTTAGTTGTTAATTTTTTATATTTGTAGTGTTTGATTTGAAGTCCATTTTTCTACACATTCTAGAGATAACACCTGTGTCTTACTGTAAATACAGTCAAACACAGTCAACATGTCTATCCATTAACCAATATGAGTGGGATCAGGTCCTTACTGACTAGCATAAAGTTAACTGAATTCACTGGTGAAATGACAATTCCACCAATATTCATAGGTTAGGCACAATGCCACATTATCAGCTGGATTGTTATTTGCTTGAGGAAGAATTCCAGGTTTTACAAATTCTTTCCAATATTACTCAACTGCCATCCTTTCCTTTTGTTTCTTACCTCATTCTACAAAGTAGGCCCGAGGCCATAAGAACAGATGGGTATTCTTAGCCTAATGATAGACCATATTTTTAACTAATAATTAGTTAACAAGAGTTTAACAAGACAATACGTTCACAGAATAGTTGTCAGAAACATCAAAACCTATATAGAGTAGTTACATGAGGAGCTGTTCACAATCAAATGGGAGACCCATGTGCTCAATTCACAGTCTGGTCTTTACACTTGTCACAGAGTGTAAAGACAACAAGGATATGTATATGGAAACAAATCTCATACCACCCAGGCATCAAATTTTGTGAAGGAACACCTGTGTCCCTGAAAAATATTTTTAAACTATTACCAAATGTGGGTGAGCAGTATCACCTAACTGGAAAGGGAAGTAAACTTTCAAGCACTGATCCTTTTAAGGTCTTTCTATCGGAACTTATCAACCATAGAAGACACAAATGAAAGCAAATCAACTGAAAACCAAAAACCAAAAAGGGTAATAATTCTCAGAGGCTTACATCTTCCAGGCAGGAGGGGAGAGAAAACATCAGAGGCTTACATCTTCCAGGCAGGAGGGGACAAAAAACCCCATTCCTCTTTTAGTAGCCATTCCCAGTGTTATTCACAATCCTTAAAATCTTTACTCTAGGGCTTCCCAGGTCCACACAATTTAAGCTTTTCCCCAGCCAGCTCCTGTTCTCTAAAGGCATCTCTCCCTTTCAGACCATCTGTCTGAGAGGTGAAGCAGCTCTTCCTCCCAAGCTCTAACCTGACCTTGGACTTCTTCCATCTGCCGCCTTGCTTAAGGGCAGGAAGTTTTATATGCAATTTTCTGTGCAACATGAAACTAGGTGCAAGCATCTGACCCATGATGACAATCACCAGTTTTAAAGGCACAATGATCGTAGCAGGAGGAGTAGAAGGCACACACATCTCAAGGCCCTGTGCCCTGTTACAATGTCTTTGATATGGGGGAATGAACAAAAAAATGGCATCTTCTAAATTAATAGACTAGTGTGCATATTATATGTGTAAGCTGGAGATAGAGGTAGAAGAGATAGACAGAAAGGATGTTCTAGTACTGAGGTGTCAAACATTTGGCTACAGGCCAAATAAAGCCTGTCATACTGCTTCATAGAATTTGGTGACACAGCTAGTGGTGGGCAGGTCCTGCTACAGAATCCAGATCCCTCAAGTCCCAGGAGATATAGTACTTAACAGCAGTGGGGTATGCGAGGGCTGTGCCCTGCTCATCCTGTCCCCACTTGGCCCACCACCAGTTGTGCCACCTCCATCACAACAAGCAGCTACCTTATCTAAAGCTACCTGCCCCACTCCTGCCACCACGGTTGCTACAACCCCCTCACACTCTGCCCACTGAGAAGCCCAGCAGTTTGGATCCAGACCAGGACGAGTTTGACACCTCTGTTCCAGTAAATGAAACACCACATTGTGACTAAGAAAATCCAAGTTCAATTCTTAGCTCAGCTACAGACTTCCCATGTGACCCTGAGTAAGTCAAATCTTCCTTATGTCTCAGTTGTCATCTATCTGCTAATTGGAATAATATTTGGCTACATCAGGGCAGTCCAAATCACAGTCCACATGCAGTTTGCAGGCCCCCACAGCCACCATACCCACACAGCAGAGGGCAGTATCCCAGAGGCTCAACCCCATAGCATGTTGATGGCACTGTGTATGGCCCCCTAGCCACAGGGAAGTTGGACTGCCCTGGGCTACAGCACCAGGATGGATGAAGAGGATACTTTTTATTGTCTGAGAAAAAGGTTTAGATGCTACAATGGTAAGAACCACATAAGTATCTAGAGAGGATACATTTTGAATACAAATTAAGATTTTCTATCATTTTTATTCCAGAGTGAACTTGGAGCAGTGTCCCTGATGAACTGAACAGGATTTTTAAGTAAATTCAAGCTACACCATGTTACTGGTGATCATGTGTGAAAAGGAATAAATGCAGCCTGACCTTCACATCCACTTTGCACTCTGGAGGATGGGCGAGCAATTAGATACGATATCACTGAGATGCATCATAGGACCCACCAACATCAGTTTTACAGTCATTTGTTCAAATATAAGCATACCTCATAATGTTCTCTACTGCTCTAATTGGTTAAAAATAAGTTTTAAATTAAATCAAAGCTAAAACAAAATCTGGTGATCTCCTGCAATTCCAAACAATTACAGATAAGTACTCCACGTTGTACAAAGACAATGACATTAGTTGCAAACATTCTGGAAAAAAAACCCTACTTCCACTGCAATTCTTTACATGACTCCCAGATATATCAGGTATCAGATATACCAAGGTAATTTTCTACCCATTCACACAAATGGGTTTTCTGATGTAGCAGAATAATAGATGCACAAGTTCTGGCAAATTTTTCAAATAGAAAAAAATTAGTGAACCAAGGATAACTCCCCACCAAAAAAAGAGAAAGAAATAAATGAAAAAATCCCAAAATGTGATGACTAGTATTCATATTAACCTGTAACTATAAGCCACCACATTACAAAAACCAGCAGTATGTTAATGAAACCTACTGATGACAAAGTTGAAAAGGTGATTAGGATGTTACATAGGATAAACTAGATGAGCATGAGAACTAAGGTTACAGAAATGGGATGAAATGCAGTAGTAAAAAGTACAAGGTCATGTACATAAGGACTAAAACCAAGTCTACAACTATACTAAAACAACTAACACTATAATTTCTGCTATAAGCTGTGAGCTCACTATTTGGAATTGACTGAGGAGAATGACCCATACCTGTTAGTCAATCATAAAATGATTATGAGCCACCATTATGCTAAGGCTGTGAAAAAACAAAATGTGAACCTGGCATGTCTCAGAAAAGACATTTCTAGTTAAGATGGGGAACTATTAAGGTCAATGTACAAAGCACTGTTGATACTTCTGATCACAAGAGATATTAATTCAACCTAGAACCAACTCAGACAAGGGCTGCTAGCATGATCAGGAAAAATGTGAGCCTATCTTATGAGAAAATTTAAAAAAAAGGTTGTGGTTTATTTAGCCTAGTAAAATGAAAGTTGATGGGGGATATAAATTGCACTATACTAGAAGTCTCAAAGATATAGCCTGTGGGCTGGATTTGGTTCATGCAGTCCCATCATCCAGCCCTCAGAGCTGGCCCTGGGAGTGAGATGATCCATGAGGCTGGGCAGGTGCATGTGTTCAGGGTCTGGAACATGTACCAGACATCCCCCATTCCAGCCACTCTGGGATCTATGCCACAGGCAGTGCTTCCCACACCCTGCCAGTCCAGGACATGTGTTGCATGTAGCACAGATTCTGGAATGGGTGTCACATGGCAGTCTGGTGAGGGCAGCTGACACGTGTTACAAATGGTGCCCACTCCAGCCAGTCTAGGACCCATACTACATGTGGCACCCACTGTGGCCAGACTACCAAACAGCACTCGCTCCGGCTGATCTGGGATTTGTGCCACATGCAGCACCCAATCCAGCCAAACCAGGACCTGTGCTACACACAGTGCCTGCAGCACCACGTGTAGCATGGAGCCCAGAGCAGTCGGAACAGGTGCTGTAACTGGCATGTGGGAGGTGGAGTCTTGGGCCCAATCTGGCTTGCAAACTGGCCCCTTGGCATTCCTCTGGCTCAAGGGTCCAGGAGAGTTTGACACCCCTGTGCTATACAAACACCTCTTTGGAGGCAGGTCAACACCCAAGAGGTAAAAAAGACATTTAAGCTAAAGGCCAATGTTGGCACAAGAACAAATGGCTATAAACTAGTAATGAATAAAATTTAAGCCAAAAAAAAAAAAAAATCAGAAGGCTTCTAGCAAATGAGGGTCTGGAATGTCTAACTGAAGGAGTAGGGGCAAAACAGCTAAACAGTTTTAAGATTAAGTTTTATCAGTTTCATACAAGGGATTATACAACATGGCAGCTCATTGATCCCAGGAAATCCTTCTAAATCCACATTCCTAACTGGAGCTCACTCAGGAATTACATCTGCTCAATCCAGACCACAATCTCATCCTTCGGGCATCAAGGGTTTTTGAAACCGAGTTAAAAAAAAACAAAAAAACAACAACCCCCCCTCCCCCCCTTTTTTAAACTGACATAAAAATACCCTATCTTTATTTCATGTAAGGCTGACCTTTTTAAAACAGCATCACATAGGTTAGTAGTTTCCATTAGAGATTAGGGGTTTGTGATAGTGCACCACTGTGGCAGAGCACAGATTGTGCCTGCCACTTTAAGGGGTCTGAGTAGAAAGTAAGCAGCCTGCAGGTGGGAGTAGGCTCAATCAGGCAGGAGCATGTTAGACAGGCGGCTGCCTGATTGGTGGAGAGGCTGGGAGTCTGAGTATAAGAGCAGAGCTGGCAGTTGCTGCAGGGGGGCCGAAATAACATCACCCAGCTGGAGATCTGCTGCTCCCAGAACAGCTTGGAGATTCAGGGTAGGATCTATGGGGATGGAGGAGGTTCCTGGTCCTGGGGAATGACCTAAAACTACCCTGTTGGGGCGGATGGTGTGATGGGGCTTCTAGGGACAGGGTAGTCTCCAGGAAATGCCACACCTGTGCCTCCCCAGTGAGAGGCAAGTATGGGGCACCAGAAAGCCTCAGCCTCCACTGCCTCCCGTGGAGGGGACAGGCTAGGGAAACACACCCCAGCAGAAAAAACACAAGAGCCCAGGCCCACTGAGTGAAGCCTGAGGCCCAAGGGGCATTAGGCCCAGAAGCCTCAGTATGGGGATGTGGAAAGACTGAAGCCCCAGTGTGGGCACCGGGGCCCAGGTAGGTCTGAGGATGCCTGAGGCCAAGTCTAGGCCGAGTGTGGCCCAGCTAAGGAGCTGGGGGAGTTTGTGGATAGGGATGCCATCTGCAAGGCATGGGACACGGTAGAACGGGAGGTTTGGAGCCATGCATTAGTCGCTGGCATCAGGGCAGTTAAATGGGCAGCCTCCCACCTAGGAACAATTTAAGTTACATCAAAGGTGTGGCAGGTGAGCATACTGCCCTAGACAAGTGGACGGGTCAACATTCAGGACGGGCGGCCTGGGACAGCCCACATGTTACAACCATAAGTACTAGAAAAGAAGAATGAAATAAGGGATGATGCATGCAAATGCTGACAATCAAGCAAATTACATTTAAAAAATGATGAAAAATCAAGACACACTCACCACTTTCCATCTTTCTTTGACTAAAGTTCCCACACTGAGGATGTCTGGCTGCTCCCCTCCTCCACTCATTGCAACCTCCTGATGCAATGTAGTTGCTATGCAGAGTCTACGTCAGTACAGATCAACCAGTTCCCAGAGGTGGCTTCCATTTAACCTGAGGCTAAAGAAACAGAGATCAGCACAGAGGAGTTCATTAAATGTAGTTACAGCTGCACAATTAAACTCACAAATAAAACCTCGGGATGTCAATATTTTAAAGCTCTAATGCCTGTTGCTATTTCAGACAAGGTTCCTTGGGTGAATTTGATATCTTTTATTAGACCAACCCAAATGGTTGGAGAATAGTTAACCATTTGGGCTGGTCTAATAAAAGATATCAAATTCACCCAAGGAACCTTGTCTGCCTATGTCCTTAGACCAACACAGCTACAACCCAAACCCCTGTTGCTATTTCAGGCATTTTAAATTCTACAGTGTAGTATGTGTAAGTAGTCTTATTTATTATTATACATACATAAAACTGTAGTTTGTATGCATTACAATGTTGCATTGTATTAATCTGCACAATTAGTTAGAAAAAAAAGAAGAATGAAAAATTTTAAGTATGGGCAATACAGCAGTTCAATGAAGGAATGGCCAACCTGTGGCATGTGTGCCACAAGTGGCATGGGCAGCCTTTCTATATGGCACATGGTTAATCAGAGGGACAGGCAGCATAGCAGCAAATATGCCAGGAAGCAAAAAACAGAGCAACGGATCAGGCAAGGGAAAAGGATCAGAGTAGCACCCAAGTAGGATGCAGGGCTAATTTGTGCCATGTCTGCCCGAAAGGTTGGCTTCCACTGGTTTACTACACGGACAACAGCAAAAGAAGTCTTGCCGCCTGTATATAATATCTATACAGTACATGAAAATGCTATAAATAAACTGAAGCCACAAAATACCTACTAATCACAAACAGGCAAGATCTAGGTTTATATTGCTCATTTGAAAAAGGATTTAAAATCTACAATGCTTCTTAGGTTCCGAGGGTGGCACTGACACCAGGAGAAGGTACTCTTTAGCTATTCTATCCAATTAGCAACCAGTTTAAATGGAGATCTTATTCTTCCATTACTAAACAGGTCCAACCATGCCAAGTTTGGGCATTCTGGCCCAATGTAACATGAATGCAGATCACTGACAATCAGCTGAGGATCAGGTTCATCTTTCAATTTATTAACCTACCTCTGAATCTATGTAAAGCTATTTTTGCCACCAACTGCATGTACCTCCCATGAATCTCTACCTAATCTGAAAATGTTTAAGTCATCTGAAGCTGTGAACCCTAACCTCCTTTGGAAAAAAACAAAAAACAAAACAAACAAACAAACAAACAAACAAACAAACCACAGGGCACAATTTGGCCAGTCAATTATTGACACAGGTAAAAGAGAAGAGAAGTGTTTTAAAACCTTGACCTAACTCCAGCCCTCTTGGTTGTGAAGGAAATCTTCCAAATAAAAAAACCTAAATACAATCAATGCCATATTGCGCCTTCTTGCCTCAAGCTCATGCATGCCAAAAATCCTATCACCATTTACAGCTTCCCAGGTGCAAAAAGCTCCAACTGTCTCCTATTCTGCTGCCAAAACTCAGCTTCCCTTCCGGCAATTTCTGTATTACAGCTATGTTATCATTACAAGAGCCTGCAGCAGTTTCACAGTTTGAAGACAAAGTTAAATATATTGAATCTAGTATCAAAATAATGCTCATTTATGAATGTAAACTTGAATATACAATACAATTTCCAGTTTGCAAAAAGGTTTGGAATGTTGCATTAGTCAAATCCTCATAGGTGATTTCATATTTACTCAAATACAAGAAGATTTCAAATTTATGAATGCCTCCTCCCCCGACAATAATTTGATTCTATACACAGAAAGTTTAGGAGCTTGTTATAATTTTCCATATTTAGAGCCATATTGGAGGATGGTCTTAATTCATTCCCCTCCACTGCAACAAAGAAAGCAGTGGCAGGGGTGCATGTTGGGGTGGCAGGCAGTGGGAGTGTCAACTGGCCTGACTCCTGCCCCTTGCCGCCACCACACCTGTCCCTCGCACTTGCCCACTTGTAGTGCCTGTTGCCCCCTGGTGTCTGGTCCCTGCCCTTCCCCTGCCACCTCCCCTCACCTTGCCACTTTCCCCACTACCCTGCCTCCCTCCTCCCTTCCAATTACCCTTAGTCATGGCTCCAGCCCTGCACCAGCTCGTGGCACAGAGTACATGGTGGCTCCAGCCCCCAACTGTCCAGTCAGCAGTGGCTGCAACAGCTGCAGTTCTGGCCCTGAGACTGGGTCAGACCTGGAGCAGAAACCAAGGCTGCAGCTGCTGGCACTGGTCAGAAGCAGGCTGGAGCCACCATTTGGTCTGTGCCCAGAAAACCAGAATTGCAACTGAAAGTAAGCAGCAGTGTGGGGGAGAGAAAGCAGGCAGAAGAAGTGACAGGGAACTTGAGTGGGAACAGAGGTTGCGCAAGGCAGGTGAGGGGGCAGTGGCTGTGGCTCTGACCCTGAGCCCAGGTTGGGGCTGGGACTAGGGCCAGGGCTGGAGCTGCAGTAGATGCCTGCCCCGCTACCAGCCTTGTACTCAATTCCAAGATCAGGAGCTTCTTCCCCACCTCCACCCCTCTGCACCATGTTGAATGAAGGAAAAAAAACCTCATCTTGGATTGAGGTAAATAAGGATACATTTTGTCTACCATACTGCTATTAATTGGCTATAAAGATAAAAATTAAGAAAATGTACATGTGCTTTACCTGAAATTTTCCTTTCTGGAAAAAATAAGGTCTACAGATACATGATGCTGGATCTTTGCTCTCTGCAGCCTAGAAGGCAAATCAAAAAAAAACTTTCTGTCAACTCAAAATAGGAGGTGTATTCCTCCACTTCTGAGAAACTTCCATCTAAGATATTTCCATGGTTTAGGAAATCTTTAACTGCTCTGTATCAGTGAGAAAAGATTAATCATTGAGACTAAACAGAACATTCATCCTGAAGTGCAAGGGATTGAATAAACAACAAATTGTGAGTGCCAATTACTTACCTGCTATCTTCTCAATTAAACAACCTATTCTTTGATAGGTTGGACATCTGGAATGCATCACTCCAAAAAGGAAATTTTACAGAAAGGTGCAGCTAAATTTTCTTATTCTTATCCATGACACCAGGATTTTCACCATATGGGCTCAGATTGGGAGCTATATATATGTATGTGCAGACAGTAAAAGGCATCATTTCACAATAGTCACTGTAATACTACAGCAAGAGCACCTATTGACTGAAAATTCCCTCAAATGATGACCGTCTCATCTGTATCATCTGAAGGAGGTAGAAAGAAACGACTGTGTGGCTGCCTTGCCATTTTCTTTCTACAATCTTTCTGGTCTACAAAACGTCCACAGGAGTGATGGAATGAACTCTTACTATTGAAGATGTAATTGCAAGTGGGATGCAAACAGATCTATTGCTGAGAAACCAAATTCCTTTACTATGGAATAAAAACAGATTTGGGTGTACTGTTGTTTTTCTGCAGAATCTCTCCTTATGCCTAATAAACCTAATGGGCATAACCTTCATTTTCCCTCGGGTGTGAACAAAGCAAGCTGACAGCAGATTTTCGTTCACCCAGGTCAGCAACAAGTAAAAATCCTCCCTGTCACTGTTGCTCCCTTTTGTCTTTTAACATATGACATGGTTTGATGTGCTGTCTGTCAAAATCAGCACACGAGAGGAAACAGAGCCTTTGTCCCTAGCTCCTGTTAGTTTATACTGCAATTGTTTTCATTTGGACCAGTTTCTAGGGACAGTCCTTTATACCATGCGAGTGCCCAAGACTTACAGCTATGGCAATATCTGACCAGGTGTCTTTGTCTATTAGAAAGCCTGGTTTGAATCTACTCTGACTCAGAGATTTGAAAGTGTTCCTGCGGTGAAAGTCTTCTGCGGGAAGCAGATAATACAAATGAAAAAAAAGTAAGAAGCTCTGTAGGAGTCTAATGCAAGCACATCCCACAAGGAATATCCACACAGAACACTGATCTTGGAAGAGAAAAAACATATGAACGGATGCTTCCCTTGAGAAGCTATTTTGATAAAGTCTTCTCAGCTTCTCCAGTATTTCCTGCAATAAGAAATTCTGTAGGAAGACAGCATCTGTTTCCACTCCAAGATGAGGGAACCAGTGAGACAGCACTGACAGTCAAAAAACTGACAGTAGCTGTGAGTAAGTTTGAATGAGGAGGAAGTGGTAGATGTGGATTCCTTCCTGTTTGACTGGATCTGTTGGAGGGCTGCTATTAACACTACCTCCATTTTCAAAAGCTTCCATGATACTAGAGATAAGCCAAAGGATGAGGACTTGTTCCTGCAGAATTCACTTCTGAGAACGAAGTACAGGAAACATCCATAAAACTATCAAACTGGGATCCAGAACTAAGTAGCCTCCAACTCTACCAATATTGTATACCCCTTTCGTTGCTGGCAGCTAGTGTGGATTTTACGATCTCCATTGCAAATTCTGATTTCTTCACAGATCTGTTGAGATATTACAGTCTTCTGTTTTTTGTTTGTTTTTTTTTAATTTAAACAGATTGAGAAAAACTTGCAATATTGTTTGCCCATGTCAGCACTGATTACGGAAGTGTGCAGGGGCACTTGAGATAAAACATGACAATTCCAATGTATTTATTCTTTGGCTTTACACAATGATTATGCATGAAAAAGAAGTTGAGATGATGCCTTTCTGGACTTGTCTGCAAAGAACCTGCTTATAGAAAAGACCGCTCACAAAATAATCTCTCCCAGTTAGAAATCCCAAATTCATGATCACCATGAAAACAGGCACATTTATTTCTGGTGGTGATATCAAGAAAATGCACACTGAGGAAACTTTTAGCCTTCTATATGAAGGCCAGGAAGGTGAATATGAAATAGAAAGAAATGAAGAAGGTGGCAAGGCAAGGTGACCTCCACAGAAACTGTAGGCAAAAGTGAGGACATTAGCGCACAGGAACCCACAGCAGCAGTTAAGGACAGTAATCCCACACTTTTTCAAGTTTTTAGGTATGGCAGCATATTCCCTTATTACACCA